CTGGTCTATTTTTGGTACTAATTAAACCTAATTCTGACGACTGATGTTAGCGTAATTATAGGCTCATAAGTGTAAAGCTCTTTCTTCACTTACAAATGACAATCACCGACATCGTTGCTTGATTAACTCCAGCAATATTAGCCACAATACAAACATACCGCCTGTTATTCTCGCTAGCAGCCACAATAATTTCCAAATTGCCTGAATTTTGTTCAACCTCATTACGGAATGGTGTGTTATCTGCTCGTCTCCACCTAACCGTGGCTTGACTAGTGTTAGAATAACACCGAATTGTAGTATTCTGGCCAGCAGTAATTGCAATCGCGTTTGATGGCGAAATTACAGCAAGTGGTTGGCCTAATTTCAAAGTAAACAATTAGTGAAAGTTATGAGTATAAGTTACTAATCTCAATTGGTTCATAAAAATAAAAAAATTGAAGATTCAGGTAATCTTATAAAAACTTTGACATCTATTTGACGAATAATGAGACACTCAATCGGCTTAAGATTATTTAAATGTCGTAACATTTTTCTAGAATTATTCTTACCTATTACATTTATAAATGTTATACCAGTATTTGATCCAAATGAATTTGTGATGTTGCAAACATATTCTCCAGAATCCTGTTGACTAGCTGATGTAATAACTAAATTGTTGTTCGAATCCTGATTTATATTACTGGGTAATTGGCTAGCCCCGGCTTTGTACCAGGTAATTTGACCTGGACTAGTGACTGATGCACATGAAAATGTTCTGTTTGCACCTTCTACTATACTACCGTTTATTGGAGATATTCTTACTTCTGGAAGCACTATAAATGTTAAAAATAATTTCAAATCAGTAAAATACTTAAAATAATATAAATATGTTATCGTAGCTTCTGTAATTAAAATATCTATAATATTGCATTTATTATTTGAAATAATTTACCAACAACAATTAATCTTGCAGTTATTCTCGTCATTCCAGCAATATTCCCCAAAGAGCAAATGAAACTAGCATTATTAGTTCTTGCCGCTGAAGTAAAAGTCAGCGAGCCCGAACCGTCTACGATGACATTACTTCCTAGTGCACCGCCATCACTTCTTGACCATATGACGCTGGCGTTACTTGAGTTTGAATAGCAGTTAAAACTGGCATTTCCTCCTTCGTTAACTTGAATTGTTGTAAAAGGCTTGATGACAGGGACAGGTAACGCTAATTTTGAAATATACAATCATCAGCTTTTATAATTAACTTTAACATCTGCTGGAACTAATTCATATCTTATTGATTGAAATCTCGTCAAGTTTACATTACTGCTACTTTTGCTTTTGTACATACCAACAATGGTTACAGTAGAAGTAGTAGAGCTTTGACCTGCAGGATTTACAGTAGTACACCGATATACACCGCTGTTTTCTCGTGTCGACGCATTAAGACTTAAAACTCCATCTGGTGATATGGCTGCAGAATTTGGAAGAGTCCCGTCATCTCGACTCCAAGTAATATTAACTCTATCAGGGCCGGTTGCGGAATTAATTGTAGAAGAACACTGAACCTGAATAATTGTACTGCTTTCCGCAATATTAACGGCAGTAGGATTTACAGCTGCTTGAGGGGGTACTATCATAAAAAATCAAGTGAACATTAGCCAGTAAATAAATAGCAATGCAGCCTTTTACAAATTGCTACTTTAATAAGCTACACAAAGATATTTACCTATCACAAACAAAGTCACATTTTTCGAATCTCTTCCGGCGGTATTATTTAAATTACAAGTGTAACTTCCGGAATCGCTAGATTGAGCCGAAATTATATTTAGTACTCCATTATCAGTGTGTCTTGCATTGCCCAAGAGCAGATTGCTGCCTGTGGTAAGCCAAATAATATCCGCTGGACTTGTAGTAGAACTGCATGCAAATGAAACGTTGCTATTTTGATTGACTATAAGATTACTTGGAGTAATTTGAACGACCGGAATTACTAGATAAACAAGAGGTAGTTATTAGAATTAGGAATCTTAAATAGTTCTAGAATACTTGATAGTGGTATTCTCTAAGAAGACAAATATTATTTCGATCCTAATAAATACACGTCTTCTCTAGTCCTGATTAACTTACGAGTAACAGACAAATTTCCAACAGCAGTGATGTTCGCTGCTCGATTCGATACCACACAAACATATCTTCCTTCATCTACAGCATTCGCTGATCTGATTATTAGCGTACCATTAGGGTAAGTAATGGTATTATTTGGTAATGGACTTCCATCGATCTTTGTCCAACGAAATGCAACACCAGATGTTGTTGACGAGCAGTCGAATTGACCTACTGTATTTTGATTAATTACTTGAGCTGGTGGTCTTATTATAACGTTCTTTGGAATTTCTGGAAATGAATCAAGGTAGATTTTTTACTAAATTGGAATTGATTACTATGCTATTAAATCGGTTTTTTTTCTCACCTAGAACTTCTAAATAGGCTATTGCTACAACAGTACCCACTGCATTTGTTAAATTGCACTGGTAGGCCTTTTCATCTGACAATTGGATTGCACCAATTGTCATTGATCCATCAGAAGCCGTAATTATCCTGCTGTTATTGATATTAACCCATGTAGCATTGGCCGCACTACCTGAAGACCTACATGTAAATTTGGCATTTTCGCCTTCAACGATGGATATATTGAATGCTGGTAGAATTGATGGCGTAGGTAAATCTGTGAAAATAAACTGTCTTGTATTAGCTAAAAATAGGTGAATACTGATTAATTCTTTACGGCTAGGATGTTTTCGTAAAACATTAATAGCAAGTCCATCTAAACTATACCATTCTTGATGACTTTAGAAGTAGCTTGTGATGTTCCTTCAGTATTATTAGCTTGACATATATAAGTATCAATATCTTCATCTTTAAGGAACGGAATGATAAAGATGCTCGAGGAATTGCTATTGGAAGGAACGGATTGCAATGCTTGACCACTTAATCTTTTCCACGATATTACAGCTACAGGCGAGGCTGCAATATGACAAGTAAGGGTAACTGATGATCCTCCTTGAGCAGTAATAGAATCAGGCACGACCTTAACAAAGGGCTTGAAATTTCCTAAACAACAGCGAAGGAAAAACATTATTTTCTCATTGACTTTTATTTATTCCATGGTAATAACTACGGCAAAACCAATATTTTTCCTGGCTCTATTAGATACCTGGGTCAACAGCTAATGTAGCAACAACATTTCTTTCTCCAGCAGCGTTCCTAGCTGTACAAGTATACGTAGCAGCATCATCAACAGTAGCTGGATTAAGATGAAAGGATCCCGAAGTTGGATTAACTTGTAAAAATGGCGACAAATTTTCAGACCGTGACCAAGAATAAGTGATTGGTTGATATCCAGATGCACTGCATGTGAAATTGGCTTGATTTCCCGCTGTAACCCGTAAACTTTTAGGTGTTATAGTAGGTTTTGGCGTTCCTTTAGCTGATATTTCGGATGAAGGATTCCCGATACGATGAAAATTGTTATAAATAATGTGAAAAAAGATTCGTCTATTTAATATTTAAGGTAATCTGAAGATTTAAGTTTTCTAACCTCTGGCAATTACATGGGTACTATCCCAAGCCAGCCCTTCAGGACTAAATCCGCTACAGTTATAAGTCCTATTCTGGATTTTAATCTGATTGAATATCAGATCGATTCTTTTGAAGCCGATTCTTTGGATATTAACAGTTTTTGATAGATTGGAACCATCAGTAGCAGACCACTGTAGGGTAGGTGGAGGATTACCGGAACAATTGCATACAATTTGAACTCTGTCATCTTCGTTTACGTCCAAGCTAGTAGGTTGTACACTAACTTGGGGCGGGGTGGGTACTATATCAACATACCAAACACAAATTGTAGTATGTGTTAAATTACAAGAGTTTAAATTTTCATTAAGATCACTCATATTGTGTAACATTCATATATTGAGAGGTAGAAAAACTTTAAATTTATTAATAGACCAAGCTAAACGTAAATCATCTTTCATACCCCCAAAGATTATAAAGCCGTATGCTAATGCAGTACTCCATCGATTAGATGAAAAGCATTTGTACTCTCCAGAATCTAACTCCGTTCCATTCCGGATTTCTACAACACCAAATCTGTCAATGAATTGAGATGGCAAAGGTTCATTTTCTCGACCACGACTCCATGCTATAACGTTGGGAGGTTCACTACAACTGCTACAATTCCAGACACCACTGCCATATTGTGGTAGCCTATAAACAGTCGTTCCAATGATCGGTTGCAATCTGCAATTACTTGGTACTCGATTAATTTCTGTTTTAAACAAAATTTATGAATCATTATTTAATTTTTAACGTTCTATCAAAGTATCTAATCCTCACCATTAACTTTTAAGGTTGCAAAAGCATTAACGCTGCCGTACGGATTAGATACGGCACATTGAATATATCCGCTGTCGGATCCGTGAAGATCGATTAAATTTAGGATAGCTTCCTTCGAGTTTAAAACTCTAGCCATGCGAGTATTATCAGGAATCGTTCTCCAAATGATGGAGATGGGATTAGCTCCGGTAATTTGGCATCGAAACGTGACATTACTTGCATCATCTACAAGGGCAGCATCAGGTGAAATTGTAGCCGTCGGAGGTGTTCTATCTGCAAAATTTACAATAATTACGAAATTTAAATATGGCAATTTTAATATGAATTATAAATGCTAAGCTACTTCTTTACTAATCTTAAAATTAACAAAACCCTCAAATATTGTTTGATGCCGATAATAAAATCTTAAACAATGCTTACGCGTACCTATAACACATTTTCCTCCTGGAACCCGTGGATTGCCAATATATCCGACTGCACATCTATGATTTTACGTGAGTAACCATATGAAAAGTTTTAAAGCAGTAAACTTACATTAGCTATAAATAAAAAGGCAAAGCAAACTTTCTTCTTGAAATATAATTGGAGATGAACTACGATTATAAAGAAAATTAACATGTGTTTTCTTACTCTCCACAATCGAGTCCCGTATATCCCGGTTGGCAATTTGTGCAATTAATTGCTCCGCTATTGCTCGCTGTGCAAGTGTCACTAAAGCTGTTATTGAGAGAATTAAGCAAAAATAATTATAATAATTAATGAAATTGTTAAAAACTGTTCTATCTAAGCAGGCAGCTAACTATTTCTTTAAAAATTATCATACCGATTGGATGTTATATTTAGAGGACAAGGACATGGCTTACAATCATCTATAGTGCCTACTGTTGCGTTCCCATAATAGCCAAGAGCACAGAATTCGCAGTGATCGCCAGTTGTACTAAAGTGACAGCCCTATGCAAAGGTAATGGTATGCAGACATTAAAAATGGGAAAGCATCGGTGTTAATCTTAAGCATAATATACATATATAGTAATTTGTTAATATAGAACAACGTCAATCATTTTTCAACAGTTTAAATACACAGTTATACCGGTAAACTTACCGTGCACGTTCCTACTACAGTGTCGCAGGTCGCACTATGACCATTACATCGACACGAGATGCACTCGCTTCGCACTCGTAAGGAAGAATCTTTAAGCGTATATCCAGCATCACATTCCTATCCATTTGGGACGTAAATAGAATAAATGTATCAGCAAATACAATTACGTTTTTGATTTGTTGGCTATATGTGAAAATAGGTGTCATAGAAATTGATTCTAATTACCGTGCATGAAGTACCAATATATCCTGTACTACAAGAACACACTTCAACATCATGTGCACTAGGTCTATTTGAATTTCCAACAAATCCATTATCCATCTCAATACCAAAGATGCTATATGAAAATAAAGAATTGTTTTATAAGATATACAATTTGAAAATATTGAACTATCAATCTGATATGTAGTAGTATACCATAAGCTGTACTGTGCAATTTTGCATATAATATGAAATAACGTGATCATAAATGAAATTTTTATTACAGCCATAGCATAGATTCTTTGAATTGATAATTTCTTTTTTGCAATACAAGTGTATAATTGTTCAGGATATTACAATTTTACGATAGCATGAATCAAATATTAACTTATAAAAATATCTGTATTTGTCAATTAGATAGCAACACAAAATGTAGATATTTCATGCTTTAAATTTACCTAGTAGTTAGCCAGTTCTGATTATACTTTGCCCGGATGCGTATATATTCGATATCTGCCAGCGCCAGAAGAACTTCATCTCTGGTTGCTGCATCACCTGTAGATTCCAAATTCCAATTTTTCTGCAATAGATAAGGTATTGAATAATATTCTGAAGGTTAGTTATGCAGCAAGACAGGACTAAATAATTTTTCAGTGCCTGTAACTTTAAATATCTCTACGATGTTTATTGTTATGCGGTCATGATGCAAATAAATTTTACCTTAGTAACAAATATCTCTTAAATTTTAGGAATGAACGCTATCACACGACTTAATTAACAAATTGTTTGAGTAAATAATCTTTCATACCTCAGTTAAAGCAATAGAAAATGCATGCCTTGAATTTGCTGCAAGTATTTGCTGGCGACCATCAAAATATTGTAATATAATACCACTACCCTATCAATTTTATTATAAATCTCATACGATCAGAAAAGGCCGTTACGCTTTATCAAGAATATAGATTATGAGTCTGGGATTTAAGGGAGCAACAGTAACTTAAGAAATACAAAATAAATTACACTGATAGTTCAACAAGGTTCTTACCTTAATCTCAACGTCCGGACCGCTTACTGATGTTTCGTTGGCATTATTATTTGCATCTGTATATGATATTGCATATCTCAGCTGTCCGCCATATGCAGTAACCTTTAATATTCAATTAAATGAAAAAAGTATTGTAAGCTAGTTTCAAATCTATATATGCGTAGTAGTAATTGATGATAAATAATTTTCAAGTTACTGCTTACTACCTTATTTCCTCGAAATAAATTTGGAAGGTACCAATAATACATGGTACCATTGAAGTCAGGCATATACCTAGTAAACTTGAGACTGTTAGAACTAACATTGACACTAAAATACTGCCCATCTTGATTTCCCAAATAAGTTTCTTGATCATTGCCAAAAATGAAGTTGTTGATATCACTTTGACCGATAAATATTTGTTGTAGCTGAACAATTTATTGAGTAATTCATCTTTTAGATATCTTGATTGCATAAGATATGCTAAAAGGTTTGTTATTACCTAACAACCTTATTACCTCGACTTTTGTAATAATATAAAATGGCAAAAATTGTTGCTTACATTGCCTCTGTTATAAGGAGCGCTAGAACAGGCGTTGGCACGTCCATTACAAAAACATTTTAAGCAACCATCTGAGTGGGTTGCTTGTAAATCGAATGTTCCTGATTTACATCGATCGCATCGAATACCTTCAACATTATCCTATAGATTGAATTATTTAGGGCCAATTAAATGAAACAGATTTCAATAATGAATTTCGATAATAACAAATGCGACGAATGCGGTACCTTGCAAAAACATTGGCGTGTGGTAGGACTACACGAATAGTTTAAGCTTCCTCTCATATCACAATTGCAGTATAATGAAACTAAAAATTTACATATATATTAGTATTACTTAATCCTCTTATTAATAATATATTTGGAGTAGCTAATTACCATAACATATGAAATCGTATGGATATCTTTGATCCATCACGTAAAAATTATAAAAATTTAACTGCTTTATATTACAACATAATAGAATTTTGCTATCATAAATTTTTAAACGCTATTCAGAAAGTTTCAATTTCGAAGAACGATACTTACTATCTACACATGATCCTCCTGGAGTATTTGGATTACCGGTATAACCTGGAGCACACCTGTTACGAAGCAAAGATACAAATCTTTAATAATCGCAAAAATCAATTACAAAGCAGTTTTCTAAATTAAATAAGTAATGTTCGTATAGGCTACAAATGTATTTATAAATAATGATTTACCTTTCACAGTTCAGGCCAACATAACCTGTATTACAATTTTGACATGTTATACTACCATTGGCAGATTGTATACAGCCTTGGCTGAATCTATTGAAATATTAATAGCTTTTTTTTTTACTAAATACTTAAAATTGGAATATGTCTTACCAAAAGAGAATTCTATCACATAATTTATGAACTATTCTGTTAAAATAAGTACACATTTATGCATACGTTTACATCGAAGTGATTATAAATATTCAACTTTAAAGGAAAAATATACACTATAAGAATGGAGGTACTGTAATTGTAAAAATGCCCTAATACCTTATGACGCTGGATATTAATAAAAGCTTCATAATGTTTATGCAGATTGATTTGTACGATAAAATATCTTTAGTATTTATTTGAAGAAAAGTATTTTTTCTATAACTAAGGTCTGATTATATAGTTATAGGCGGTCTTATTGCCGTAAATAAACTAAATTAAATGTATTTAAAATCTGCAGAGAGTAATCAGAGACTCTTTAACTATCAAGCTTTACAAAATTGACAAACTATCCATACCCGACTAAATTTCACAAAAAGTTAACATTTTGTGAAGTTGGGATCATTGAATATTTTCTGTGAGAACTTAGAATTCACTTCGCTTCTTTGAGGTCAATTGCTATTCTACTATTCTTAAATTCTGTCTTAAATTAAAAGCGTTTTCTAAATTCTGTCTTGACTGTTACAATTATTTGAGAATTGGATTTAAATTATACTGAATAGTACAAGGTACTTTTATAACGTAGCTATAAATGCTGTAAATACTGTAGGTTTCTAATATTTAAAGCAAATCCATTTCAACTACATCTTATTTACGGCTAAAGTCTGATTTCGATAATTTCCAGATTCCAATCACAAAAGTAATTTTAGTCATAGTAATAGATCCATACTTAATAACATCTGATACAAGAAAACAAGAAAACTTTCGTCAACATCAATCAGAAAGTGCTTATCTTTTAAAACGAGAACTAGAGCATTGCGGCTTAAAGTACTTTAGTACGATATTTATCTAATCAGCTTTGTATTACAATAGCTAATGTTGAAGGTAAAGATGAAGTAACTTCTATGGAAATAATACTTCTCTGATTTCTATCAGATAATATATTTTTGTATGTACTGATATTACAATTATCTATAATGCTGTATATGGTTCTATAAATTACTGTGTACTTTTATAGAATTATCCATTCAACGAGAATCATTGGTATTATAATTTCTCTACAAACTAACTGAAGTTTTAATAAACTTTAGATGCAGCTTTTGTCTAAGAGAGCCTATTCGTTACTGTAATCTTTATGGCAATTGGAAGATCATTAGTTTTTATAGTCGTGTAGTGGTACTGGATAGTAGTCAGGGAGGACAAACCTGACAGTATGCTCACATTATTAATTTTCTTGTGGTAGTTTTAATTTTTTCATTATAAGTTTCAATTTATAGCAACTGTATGTAGCGATCTTATAAGGAGGCTAACTTACTGATTTGATGACAATGACAGAGGACAAGGACATAGCTTGCAATCATTTGCTGTTCCAGTAGTTGCATTACCGTAAAACTTAGAGAGGCAAGTTTCACAGTTAAAGCCGGTAGTATTGTGTTTGCAGTTCTAAAAAGAAATATTAGTAATTGAATGATGATAGGGCGGCTTATTATGAGGATCATGCAAGATATATATTTCGAATTTACTTCAAATACGAAATCTTATATGGAGTCTTATTAAACGAAACCTACAATACATTGTCCAGTTTCAGAGTTGCAATCGGTAGAATGACCATTACAGAAGCATGGAACGCATCTGCCGAAATAATTGCCTGTCGCTATCCGCCGATAACCTTTAGCACAGTACTATCATGTAGTGTTTCAAAATGTTAATTAAAAATACACACAGAAATTATCCATGTTTCAGATATTAATCGTTTCACAATTATCAATATATTTATCCGGCGAAGACCTACCTCACACGATGTACCAGTATAACCTTGTGGACAATTGCAAACTTCCACAAACGAAGCCGCACTTGTATTTGTGACTTCATTGCTTAATTCAGCCATTGCGACATCTCGAATACTATTAAAAAAGTTATAAGTAAAATTGAGGAATTAATTATTTAGGAAACGGCAGAATTTAATAAGCTATTACGCTTATACCTTGTACTTATCATTTCCGTCGATAAAACCCCAGAAATAAGAATAGCATCTATTTTTGCTAAAACAAACATTAGATCAGCTCGCCCAGCGATTTGTCCGTTTGATTTTCTCCAATTTGTCTATAGAGTAAGTATCATAAATAATATGTTATGGTTCCCTAAATTATGTTAATAATAAATTGACTATTTATCAAAGTAGATCTTACCTCTGTTAAAGGTATATCGTATCCTACATTCGTGATAGGAGCTCTTAGCTGGTTGTCAGTAAAAGTTAGAGTTTGTTGACTTCCCTAATAGTAATAATTCAAATGACGCTTGTTTTACGGTGTTATCTTACCGTTAGGATAGTTCAACAAGTACAGTAGTAGCTTATATGGAAAATATTCATATTTGTAGCTCTAGGTAAGATGAGTAATGCCTTAACGAGGATATTATTTGTGATAAAATTATTAAATATTTGAATTTGATTGTTATTATGTATAGACATTAGTAAGATGATTTGAGTTCTAGATTCATAATTGAACTAGACAACATACATACTTAGATGAAAATTAAGTATGAGCAAGAGATTAAAAATGTTTACAGATAGAAAAGCTACGTAAGAAACATTTCAGTTCGAGACGCCTCTCCTAGCATGGCAAAATGATAATACTATTGTTTATAAATTAGACGGCTCCTATACAAATTGGAATATTTGAGTTGAGTTGTGTGATAAAAAGTTGTAGATATGTCTATGCTAATAAAATTTCTATCTTTACGTTACTTCACTGTGTGTGTTAAATGTTTAGTAAAAGGACGTTTAAGTCAGTAGTTACTTATAGGCTTTTACTTTACATTTCCTTGTCGCAGAGTTGAATTTGTGACAGCTTAATTCAAAACTAATACGGACTCTACAAAAGATTTCAAACTGACTAGAGATTGTTGAACAATCGAAATTAGTTATACGCGTACCATTAACTCAACAGTAAGTAACTGGCCTGTTCCATTAGTTCTTGACCGGTAGGAAATAGTGAAACTGAGCTCAGATCCATAGGATCCAACCTGCATGATTGTAATGGCAAGATTTAGATCGTATTAAACTATACATTATAAGTACAGCAAAACAGCTACCAAAGGAAAATATGTAAGGCTTTACTTTATTGCCCAGGTATTCGTTTGGCAGATACCAATAATAATTTTGGATGGGTAAAGTATTAAATTTATCGAAAGTCAGATAAGCATCATTTTGGCTAATAGTAAGGTCACCATTTGCATACAATAAGCTCTTGTTCTTGTTACCAAACATGAAACCGTTTGAACTAAGAGTAAACCCACTACCAATCTAAAGGAGCGAATCAAAGTTTAAAGCAATCATTTTGTCAATCATTGGAATTATTACAATGTTGTTAAAAGTCAACGTTTTATTTCTATAATACTACCCATAAGCTATAATTGTTTGCTTACTACTGTCAATGCTTTAGATGAAGGTGCACATGATGTTGATAAATTGAAGCAAAAACATTCATTACAACCATCTGTGTTGCTTTCCTGTAAATTGAAATAACCTTGCTTGCAAAACTGGCAGAGGTTCCCTTCAACGTTATTCTGAGCGAGTTAAATATGGAATAGATATACCTTTAGTCTTCAGTGTTACCAGATAAATAGGAGCTTAATTAATCTATTATAGTTTTATGCACATTATTATAGAATATTTAACAATTTTGACATTACTTTGCAACGATCGCATATCCCCCCACTGTTCGGCCATGGAGATAAGCTTCCTCTTACATCACAAGGGGCTATAGTTTTGGTTAATATTTAAATGTATCTGAGTATTATCTAATTAATTAAGTTTTACAATCGTATAGTTTAAAAAGTTTAATAGGTCTAATATTAAGAGGGAATTTCTATCATAATGCAGCATTATTCGCATTTTACCGCATACATTTTATTTTACAGGTATCACCAACTTGTCTGGGGTCGCCATAGTATCTCTCGCGACAACTATTACACAACAAATTATGACCAACTTAAAGTTAAAGGTTTGCGATGTACAGTATGTAGCGACTATTTTATTCTACTGTAATAAATCAGTTCATCAGAATTACCGTCTTTAAGGTATATGACATCGTAATATAATATAATCTAGTCTAATATCAAAGTAGATATAATACAACATATAGCAAGGTGTAACCTTTCGCAATTTCTTCCTTCATATTCATTTGCGCAATTACTACATGTAGGTTTGCCATCGGTAGCCAAGAAGCATGTTGGACTAAATCTGTGATTATGATATATATCCTCCATTTATTATCAGTACTTTAAAGTTTATAGCCTTTATAGGATTTAATTATGCCACATCCAGCTATAATTACTTAATCGTTAGGTTTATAGATAGTACCTATTAGATGCTACAGTTAAAGGGCAAGGACACGATTGGCAAGCTTGTGGTGAACCATTAGTAGCATTTCCATAAAATCCCGGTTTACAGCGATCGCAATGATAACCAGTGGTATTATGCTGACAGTCCTATTTTAATACATAAGATTTTAGAAATATAATTTAATGTCATTTTAGTTAAATAATGCGATTACTACTAAATCAAGTTACTTAAAAAAATTCAATTATGAATGAAAACATTCAATGTTACGATGGGTATGTGTCTAAGATATAACATTATTTCAATTTGATTCATCTCTAATTTCTTACAATGCAAGCACCATTTCCACTGAAGTCACATGTTACGGCGTGACCATAACAGAAACAAGGTCCGCAGGTACCATTTTCGGTTCGTTTAAATCCTGCAGAACATTTCTAAATGTGTAAAGCAGATATTACTATTTTAGATCTAAATCCTTAGCTTTATATTAGTTTATGCAAAATATGTTACAAGAAAATGCATCTTCATGATATAAAGAACTGCTTAAATCCGATGTGGCAATTAAATTAAATATAACAATCATTTTCAAACCTCGCAAGATGTTCCTTCATATCCTAAAGGACATGTACAGTTTTCAGTCTCGGATGCTCTACCAAGACCAACATCAGTATCAGATAAGACTGTTAAGGAAACTTTCGCAATTCTTGTCGTGATCATTTTCGGCTGATGGGTAGCACGGATTAGAATAGCTCTTACATTGGATAAAATGTTTAAAAGTATTGCTCTAGTTGCAATAGACCCGTTGGTTAAGAACCAATATTGCTAAAATGAAATTTAAATAAAAATAAAACATTAACATTATGAAAATGATTTACAATTACCTTGACAATAAAAGGAAAGCATCACTATTCATTATAATTCGATACCATAATTAATGATACATTTTTTCATCTAGCATAAAATTTTCGATAAAATGCACAAATTTTATTTACTCACTTTGATAACGTTGTCTATATTAAATAAATCTAAAATAACTCCGTCATAACTCAAATCACTATACGCATTTTATACTCTTAAGTAGGATCTTCAATCTACGAAAGCTATTTGATAATAACTGTTCTTCTAAGCAATGTGAAGCAGCATTTTGAATTCTAAATCGCATAAATATTTGCAAAGTAAAGTGATAATATTTTCTGAAGTCCAGATTTACTTTCTTACCTCTCTAATATTAACGGTATATGCCTTTGTATTCGGCCCAATATATTCTGGAAAAGCAGCTGTCAGATTATAGTAATCTCCCTTATATTAAAAAATTTATCATTAGGTATTTGTCTAAATGGAATGTATTACTCTAGTGTCTCGCCTTGTGTTGCATAATGAAATTTAAAATAAGAAAAATATTGATAATGAATTATTCCACATTGCATTTTATTACAATAATTATGACTTCTGGGTAAGTAATGTTGTTATAAAGCTGTTCAGCTCTGTAAGAAATTGTAAACTTCAATGTGCCTCCGTACGATCCTAGCTGTAGTCATAGAAAAAATAGGAATAAAAATAGCATCATATATTGTATTTTATTAGTAGTATCTTAAAAGTTTCTACAAAATCGAAATAGCTAATTTTATTGCCTTATTTCCTAAGAACTCGCTCGGTAGCCGCCAATAGTATGTCAGATTTTGAGGAACCAAACTCCATTCTTCGAATACTAACATCCTGATACTTGGATTTACTTGTGGTCTGGCTAAGGGCGGTGTAAAACTGAGGTCACTGACGGTCAGCGTATAATTATGCGCGGAATAAATAAACTCGTTCAAAAGCTAAATAATGAAATGTATGAAATTTTAATAATTGGAAAGGGTAATTGGCAAATGACATAAAAGTATAAGCAGACCTGTCCCTTAAATAAATTGGAACTAGTGCAATCTGTAGACACTCCTCTACAGTAACAATTGGTACATCCCTTCGCTTTAAACTGAGCTAGATGAAATGTTCCAGATTTGCATTTATCGCATTTCGGCCCTTCTACATTAACCTGTAATATTCATAATCTTATAATCTTGGTAAAAATTACAAAAAAACTAGAGCTGACATAAATATATTGAGCCTAAAAGAAATAATTAATTCACGATATAGAAAAAGTCAATTTAATGCTTAAGTTTATATCTACAAAATTTCTTAATATAGTTGAAAACTAAGCTAGATTTTTACCAGAGCCACTAACAAGTACTTTAATAATTATTATACTTATTATGTTGCAATAAATCGTGGCATTCATTAATAGTTACTCACTAACCTTACAGTCACAAGCGCTTGTATTCACATTAATTACGGGTGAGGTGCTACCGATTGTTGAACATTGAACTAGATTTGAAGAATTGCATTATTAATTAAATTCTCTATTAAAACAGAATTCCATAAAGGCGTATAATTTCATCGATATGTTGTTTAGTATTCCGATTTTAACTACTATAAGAAAATCTTAGTTGCATTCATACTAACTTAATTTGCAGCGTTCGCCAGGAATAGTTGGATCACCCTCATATGGTAATACACATCTATTTTGATAGATATGCAATTTATTTAGCTCTTAACTCATGTAAAGTGCATATATTTACATTGACAATAATTAATATAGATAAGAAGATTTGCCATATATATTACATTTCACAAAATCTTCCATCGTATCCGTTAGGGCAATCGGTACAGTTAGCTTTTCCGTCACTAGCTAAAATACAGGTTTTGCTAAACCTATTTTGTTAATTTGAAAATATGTTTATACATTATTTTAATATGAGGTACAGCAATTGGAATAACGTATTATATGGTTTCCAATTGTATTCATATTTACTGATTTATAGAAATAGTTAAAGGGCAAGGGCATGGACTGCAATCAAATCTTGTGCCATTTTCAGCATCACCAAAGTAACCAGGTTTACAAAATTCGCAGTGATCTCCAATGGTATTATGTGCACAATTCTTATTATGAAATATGTTAATAAAATATTTGATATCAGCCCTGTCTGTGTATTGTTTTATTTCATTGCACAATTCAGATATATTTATTTTATATTATATTCTTCCAACAACAATTTATTCTTAACTAAATCAACGATCCATCGATACAGCAACGTAATTTTATAAGATCCAGAAATTGACAACTTTTACCTGACAGATTCCCGTAGTTAAATCGCATTGGCTAGCGTGGTTATTACATTGACAAGCGGGCACACATCTTCTTACAGTTGGACCTTCTTGAAGCTGATAATATCCACTAGCACAATTCTGCACGGAGAATATTTTAATTGCAATTTGATACATTAGTGAAGAAGAAATCTTTGAAATAAAAATAATTTCGGACGACTAAATTAATTTAATTTTACCTGGCATGATAGTCCGGTGTATCCAGTAGGACACTCGCACTTTTCAACTCTGTAAGCTCTTCTACTGTATGTGATTGCTGGCAAAGCGCTAGTTAATGAAAGCCTACTTATACTGAAACAAAATCCATAACAAAACGCTTAAATTTTATTTCAAATATTTTACCGAAATTATTTGCCTTTAGATATTATAATTATACTAATACTGTGCAAGCATGCAACATATATTTATATATAAATTATGCTAAGGAATGCTTTAAAAATTTGATACTTAGATTACTGACATACGTCGTAGAAGTTGTACTTGAGGTAAAGGTACCCCGAATTCCAACGAAATCAAGGCTAGATAAAACTGCCAAGAATAAAGACCTTGATACGCTACTTCCGTTGATGACCTTCCAATAATTCTAGTTATAAATAATTCATTTAACTAAGTCAAATCTTTATTCACTAGCTTTGTGAAATTGACATTCTTTTATCACTTACAAAAAAAAATGAAAACACCAATGTACAGAAATACTTATACTGTAGTTATAAATTTACAGTTTATCCTCTACAGAAAGAATAAAGAATCCAGAGATGCTTCTGAAATTATCTAACCTGTTCTACTCGTACTTCAAAGCTGTTAATAATATTTGGCGCTGACATTTTTGAAAACTTATATGCAAGAAATATTCCATTGCCCTGAAATTAAAGCGAAAATAATTAGGACTGTCTTCATAAAGGGACAAAAGTTGTATCATAATTAATTCGTTATAATTTTTAATTTTGTAAATTCACTAACGCTGGCGATAATATCGTAAGTAGCATCAGGATTAACGGGTGCAGTTGCTCCAGAGCTCAAGGAATACTGTATCGAAAATCTGGCAACTCCGCCATACGCCGTTAGCTGTAAGATCAATTGTATCCAATGTATTCAGAATTTGTAATTATCAAATTATAACAAATGAAACTCGACTCGGTAATATAATTTAAAATGAAGCCTATTGAAATTTAAATAACTAATTAGGCATTTAAATTCATGGTTTTTTAATTACCCAATTGCCGATGTATTGATCTGGCATTCTCCAGTAATATGTATCTGGAGGTAATGCATCAATATTTTGAGCGGTGATGCGTTCAGCAGCAGTATTGAAGGTATATTGGGTGGTATTAAGCTCAATCATTTGACTATTTACTATTGAAATACTGTTCCGCCCTCCAGCACCAATGATAGGCATAGCAACCTAGAGTCAATTTTTAAATATCAATATGATGACACTCTGTCTTGGCCAGTTTGATTACAACCTTTAAATATGTTTTATGTTAGGCTGTCTTTAAAATGCTATCATAACGATATCAATTACTGGATAAGAGTAAAATATTAATTATCAGCGATCAAACTTGGGCAAATTCACGGAATAAACGATAAATAATTGTCAAATTTAGATCAATGTCATAACTTAAAAAAGTTGTTAAGAACGAAGAATTACCTCTGATACATTGAGTAGTGAGCTTGAACACTCTGTGGTAGCTCCAAAACAAAAACATTTTTCGCATGCTTGACTGCTTGTAGCAATGTCATTAAATGTGCCATTAGAGCAGTTGTAGATGGTTGTGGAACCTAGAATTTAGAATAAAATGTAATGCTACTATAAAAATCTGTAAAAGTAATAGTTCAGTTGCAGCTACACTCTTACTGCCTGCCGCAAATATTAGATTTTATCTAATAGACTTTAACGGATAAGACATCAGTATTACCTGCTACCACCACCGCAGCACTTGGTGAATTCACGTTTATCATGGCCATTTTATTAATAGCATAACAAGTATACCTTCCCGTATTACTTTCCGAAACGTTTCTAATGGTTAATGTCCCTACACCACTAATGGAAGTCATTTGAACGTAATCTGGTAAATTACCGCCGTCCCATGTCCAAGTTATAATCGGTGTTGGAGTTCCAATAGCAGTGCAACGTAAGTTGAGTGTTTGACCTGATGCTAGATCTTGGTTAGAAATAGGATTTTGAACGATGGTAGGTGGTGCTATTGAAATAAAATTTGGAGTCATTGCGAATACTATAGAAACCCTGATCATTTATATTATACTTGAGTACGTGCCTTACGGCATCAGATAATATAAAGTAACATAGCTATCTATTTCAATACTAACAACATCCAAGTTCATCAGAGCCATCCGAACAATCGCGAACGCCATCGCACTGATAAGCTAATAAAGTACACGGTATGGTAGAATTTTGGCAAGTAAATTCGACAGATCTGCAAGTTCCTGGCTTATCAACTAATTAAATTTCAAAATTGAGAATTAATTACAAGCCAAAGAAAGACGTAGAATAGCAAACAATCGTGATAGAAAATTTCACATAAATCTCTGTGGAAGTAATTTAATTAAAGCTATAAATTTTGCTGCTATAAGAAGCAACAATAGATTACGGAGACGACTATTAGATATCTAAATTTAGCAGAGTCGAAGGGAACTTAAGCAATTAGTATTGACGTCTAAATTTTCTAATTTTACCTTCGTCTCGATATTAACACAGAAACTAAACCTACTAAACCCTAACAATTAAAATACCGTATTGGGTTAACAGATCAATTAAGAAACATTTGATTGATGACATACGTACTGATATTGGTTTTCTGACAATTATAGCATCTATTTGTAATCCACGCTTACTAATGCGAACATAGTAGAAGTCGTGATAAAAAACTTACCGCAGTTTTTTTCATCGCTGTTATCGAAGCAGTCATCGCGACCATCACAAATTGAGAATAGTCCAATACATCGATTATTCTGACAGCGAGACTGTTGAACGGAACAATCTCGCGAAGGATAAACTAGGATAAACAAGGAATATTTGAGGTGATAGAAGTATATACCTTAATAGAGTATTTACATTTCAGTACTATTAAAACTAATTATTTATTTACCGCAATTCGATTCATCAGAATAATCTGTACATTCAGGTTCTGCATTGCATCTTAAAGTCGAATTAACACATTCACCATTTCTACATCTAAATTCACCACTTGCACACGGCTTTAATGTTGGCGTATTTTGTGTAACTATTAAACAAGTTTCATTAGAAATTTTAAATTGATCCATCAAAAAGGCAATACACTTTAATTCTAACAAAGATATGAAACAGCAAAAGTAATAAGTAACGTTGTATAAAATCAACCTTCATTTTTATTGAAGCTGAAGTAATTAGGATCCACTGCTATTGCATTTATATTCCCGGTTGATATGGCTTGAGATAGTCTAGACTGAATTACGTTTTGCGAAATACTACCATCGGTCAATACTTCAAATATTGCAACAACACTACCACTCCTATTTTGGAACGAAAATCATGGTCATAAATGCTTTGTAAGCTATGAACTAGAAACCTAGAGAATAGCGCTACAGTATTTGATCCATTTAGCAGTTATTCTCTTAAAGATATCTTACGCAAATGATATAACTCGAACTTCAGTAATTCCAGTTTCATTCTGAAAGATTCCTTCGATCTACAAACAGTTAAGGATAAAATATGTGTATTCTATGTACCACTTGTGATAGCTTTAATTTATAACCCATGAATTATGGTATCCTATAATAGCAATAGTTTGATTAGCACTAACCGCTTCAGACACATTAGTAGCTAAAGTCTGAAATTCAGTCGAATTTTTAGTAGTCAAAATCGGTGTAAAATTTTCTTCCGTTAGCCGAATCCTTCCAGAATAACGATCAACTGCTGATATTTCAGCTCTATTAACTGTAGAAGATGGATGTAGCTAATTAATAAAAATTTAAATATATATATTGAAAGACTTTTATGCTTCAATACATATCAGGAAGAAGTAAATCTTACTGGAAGATACTACCACATCAGAGTAGCCTTGATTGTTTTCGTATTCGCTACTGTATTCTGAATAAAATTCCTACATTCATTAATAGCATGTAAAATTTAAATTAACAATATGAATCTTTAAAAACGCACATGCAACGAATTCAAACATTTCATTTTACTCTTAGACTGTAATCGTATTTAATATCAAGAAGCTAGTTATCTATTAAAAATTTCTACATCTAGAAGAAACCAATAATCTTTAATCGCAAAGAAACTATAATCGACTTCATTTAAATTATGCAGTTATGTTATTAACCCTCATACGAATATAAATGATATTACTATAAAACAGGTTAGAAATCGGATTTCTATCTCTAGCAATTATTCTACATTTGCATTTCAATAGCGTAAAAGCAAGATACTACTCCTTTCCATTAATACTTTAATTGCGAGATGCAGTTGTTAGAATAGCATCAATATTCTTTAACCTTAGTTTATATTCAATTACTAATATAAAACTTAGTCCAATTTCAATCCGATTAATCAGGTAGCATAGCTATTTCTATGCCTTTGATACTCACGTATATTAATCGAAGCTTACGAAAATGATATGATGGTATTTATTTCAAACATTTAACTCACATGAAAATCTTCTTGACCTCTAATTTGGTTTGTTAGCAATATTACCAGTAATAGAATAATCAGGTTCAAATTCTTTAAAGCTGTCATTGTTAATTATTACGTTACTACCAATTCCCAAAAGTCTTGCAACGCGTTAGACCGCATTAATTGCAAACCTTGAGGATTAATCTTTTAGCACTAATTTTTTCCTTTATAATTCTATGCGGCAACGGATATTTAGTCTTTTAATTAAAAACTTTCAAGATGGCGTTTGTCAGAGTTTACTATTAAGTATTTTTATTAAAAAGTGAGCGCTCTAATGTATAGAAAGGGCTAAACTTTGGCATAGCCAATGATAACTCATTCTTCGATAGCACCACGCGCCTGGATTGCAAAGTCCATCTTCAATTAAAGAATTTGTTTATAAGAAGTTTGGAATATCTCAGCATGAATTGGTGACGCTATTATTCATGACCTTACATGGCTATTAAATTTGACATTTAAGTATTAATATACTAATTACTTACCTTAGTTTTGTTGGTATTCTATGCTTTATTATGGTGAAAAATATGGCATGAACACTGGTAATGATCACTTGGAATTTATTACTACGTAGGAAAATAATAAAACGAATTGTACAGTACAAGTATGATATAATTTCTTATTGATGAATGTTGTTGATTAAAATAACAGTCTACGGAGGATCATACATTTTAATGAGTTAAATATTGACGCCTACGGTATCAAGTAAGGTATGCATAGAATTTAGCTTCCGCTGCACTTAATGTAAGAACACTAAAATATTTCATGGTGAGACTGTATAATGGACTGCAATAATCCGACAATAAATTAGCGTAAGCTTCTATAGAAATTTGATTACGCATCGATAATTTTTAATCAATCATTTTATAAGAGCTCAAGTTCCTTTCACGGATAGCATTTAAAGAATAAAATGTAAATACTTTTTACTTGAGGAGTTAGCTGATTGATAAAATTGAGAAAAAATTTGGGTTTGTTGTACTTTAAAATAAATACATAAAGAATTGTAGAAGGTCTTCCGATATTTTTTAGCTTTAATACGAAAATTCATATTTTGATATTACGTTATTATGAATTAAAGACATTTAATAATAATAACTATCATTAATATTTCGTAAACCAAATCAGTTTTTCAACTACAAGATGGATGCGGATAGTTTTAAATTTCTCTTACCGAGTCTCATCGAACTTTGATAATAACTCTAGATTCTGTATGCATCTTTAAGTATTTAAAACCGCTACTGAATGCCTACCTACATACAAGTACGCCTTGCATATATATTTTATCGTTTCGTTTTGAAGCAATCCCCTAAATTTATAGGTTCAGTTGGTAGCAATTAAAATGATTTAATAACAGTAAATGTCAAGTTAGCGACATTTGATGGCTTTAATATCGTTACAAATCGTGCAATATATAGAAAAAATTTTAGCAATTACAGTAAATATTATTCTAAATTTTTAAAGATTAAGGATTGAACGTCAACTTTACAAAGCTTTAGCTCAAAAATTTGTTAATGGGAATAAAGAGTCTGAAGTAAAAAGAACTCTGAAGCATATTGATAATATGAATTAGCTTAAAAGGCACATTCATTGATACAAGTTTATTTTAAATCATTTACTGTAGCTATCAAGTATGGAAATTTCACACGGGATAATTATAAATTCAATGTAGCAAATTCATCATAGTGAAAATGGTCTAATATTTAAGTACAAGCTAACATAAAAATAGATTTCAAAGGTTATACTGTACTCTGGAAAGATAAACTAGCAAATACAGTATGCTAAGATAATAATTAATTTTGTGGTAAGAATCGTGGTTATAGCTGGTTGAAGAATAAACTTTGATTTATTAAATATACAAAATTTACTAATTAAAATGATATTATTTCAATAGAAGGATGACTAACTTTTAAAATCTTCCCAAAATAGTCTATATTTCATAAAAAGTAACCTATATTTATGTAAAGGCAACCGTTCAACATAATCGTATGTGGACTATCGTAGAGTCTATTGATGATAGCTAAAAATTTCTGCCGATAAAATATATATATAACTAATAGCTATACTGCGATATATGCTATATTCATGACACTTGGTTCTTTATTACAAGAAATTATATGTAAATGAATCCTTTCATAGTACATTTCGAAATATAGAGGATTGTTGTGCAGAATTTCTACCAGAAAATTTTACAACATTTTTTATCATCAATTTATCCACATATACGGTAATGTATATATTGCTACTATTTATGAGCCAATGGCTCTGCTAGATATCTTAAAATGGGCCCCAATGTCGGGAGTTTATCTAGTTTATACTGAATAATAATGCCAGTTGTAACAGCTCTGTATTAAATTAAATAAGCTGAGTTTGTTATTGACAAAAATATTCAGCGAGTATCGTCAGTAACAGAGAAGAAATACGGCACGCAGTACAGGTGGATGAGATATACTTCTAAAGTATGATTAAGGAAAACATAAGACTTTATATTACTTTCGTATACTGTAAGTAATTGTTCTTTAAATCAGATGTATATTACTAGATTTTTAATTATAAAGTAGAGAAATTAAAGTAATCCATAATTAGAATGAATTACCAACATAATCTATGAACAGACGTCATTTAAGAACTTTCTAAATATAACTAATAACACTTTTCTTGAAATAGTGTATTTTCTTTATAGCATATTTCTCGTCCAAACATGAAAAATAAGGTAGTCGAGAGTTTGTTTACCGTCAGGATATCTTAACAATTTGCATTACGTACTGTGGTAAATTTCAGTTGATAGATGATATTCGAAATATATGTTATTTTAGTATAAAGAATGAAAAAAGAATCATATTGGTGTTAATATAAGGCACTAGCAAAATTTCTAATGTCGGTTAATTGTAAATGCTACAGAGGCAAATATGTTTTTATCTTCGAATATGATGAATATTAGGAAATGCTTGATAGAGTAGTATATCACTATTATCGATTGCTATATACGCGTATTGTGGGGTTTGATTTTCGACCACAAGAAGTGACGCAGCAAAACATGTGCATCTCTTTTAAAGATTTATCTTTAGTTTTCATAGTCTAAAATCTTACTATAGACCCATCTATAACTAATAATATGCAGATTTACGAAAACTAAACGTAACAATAGGTATTTGCTTCGGATATTTTAAATTTGGTGTGATATATACCAATCACGAGATTCCAAATTTTAGAAAAATAAGGGCTTTATTGAATCTTATACAAAGATTAACTACACACAGCTCTACTCTAGCCGAATACTATTACTAAAGACTTCTACAACGAACTAACTGAATAATCTAAAGTTGCATGCTTTTATACTTTTCGTAGTATTCGCAGCTACAATCCGCATGGCAACCTTTTACCTTATATTACACATAGTTAAATTATTCTTAGTCAGATTATTCTACTGCGGGCCATCATTAATCCAATATGGATACGACTACAGTACTTACGTAGACATTATTCACACCAGCCAAAGTACAATGAATTAACCATATCCTAATATATGATTTACAGCTCTATTTTTACCTATAGCCTTTTTAGTAACTCAGCAGCTTACTGTATATAGTCATCTGTACTCTAGCATAGAGTCTCTACCACTACAGTCTATAGTTATAGCTACCAAATATCTCTTAGGATAAATATCTACCGTACATTATATTGAACATGGCCAAACAGTCTACAATCACAATACTAGTTACATTACATTTGGGTAGTTTTGAAAATCCATTGGTAGCGATATTGTCAGAGTTTAAATAATAACTACTAGTGCAAACTCCCGTCGCTTTGCTGACGGTTTATCACAGTACATCTACTTTAACATATTTCATACACTTCCTCTTATTGCAAGATATATGATTATAAGTTGGTGATTTCTTTCAAGAACAAAAATTTAAAATTTAAAATCTTCAAATTAATTTCAATAAATGACAAATTAAGACTGAATTTAAAATATAAATGATTGTTAAACAATACATTACTGCAATTGGTGAACACAAGCAGTAACACAATCTAAGAATGAAATTAGTAGATTAAACTATTAAAACAGCCTATGCAGTTAATTTAAAAAGAAAGCTTCACTTCATTATTTAATAATGAACGGTGTACTATGTAACTTTACAAATGATGTTCTGTAGCAACAAACCATTATTTATTTTAGTATTATATTCAAATTTCTAGTTTGGTCTATTATAGTATTCTTTATCCTAGAAAAGTCAGTCCAACTGTAGGTTTCTATGGTATCAATAGTAAACATGATGAACTATAAGGATTAAGAATTGCTTGACTTAATGTCAATTTATCATTAATTTTATTAGAAATACCTTCAAAACAAAGTATGAATGTATATTTTTGTTTCTATAACTAATTTTTGATTTTTGTTTCATCAAAATTAAAGCAAATAAAAGTCGGTATATAAAGTAAAATCATTTACAATAATTATGATTGACAATAGTCATTAAATACGAACAGGTTAATTAGTTATTGGGGTATTTCTAGAGATTTTGTGACATCACTAAGATCCACAGAAGCATGTAGTAAATGGTAACATTGTAATACACATATTTAATATTGTGAATACAAAATACTTTATGAATCCAGAGCAAGACTTCGTTAAACATTAATCTAATCATATCAAATTCTTAAAGCAGCTGTCAATTCCACTTATTTTAACTAGAGAAACCACTATAGTACATAATAATATTCGTTCAACTTACACTGATGTTTTCATTTTATAGTAAGGTTATCATTATTTATACTTTAGCGTTAACAATATACAACTTGATACATTGCACATTTTCTGTCAATTTAAATCAGTCCTTTTCTTAAAAACAAAAGGAGAAGCTCTTAAATTATAAATGGAAGGAAAATTTGTCACGAATTTCATATATTATTAATTTCTTTATGATCATAGCAACATACAATATGATGTCGACGAAAGTTATGGTATGAAATAATAATGCTTTAAAAGATTGTTATGTCAACTTGAGAACTTAAAATGTTCCACTTTGACGTTTAAAGGTAGATAAATTTTCATGATAATTATCTAGAATTAGAAGTGACCCATACTACGCACATCTGCTCATACTATTAATGGTATAAATAAAACTTTAGCGTTTATGTACACTATGAACTGTGATACAGCTGTCTAATTAACGATTTGCGATTGCGAAGGAATGATATTTGTATGCCTTTACGGTGGCTAATGACAGCTTTTAAATTTTTGTACTCAGGGTAAAAATTTTAGCTTATTCACTAAAAGGTCGCTAACTACGCAAGATATACTATTCTATGATTAATTTGATGCTTATACAAATATATCATACAGCTATCTTTCATCTTTTAGGATAAATTAATAATTATTAACGACTACAGCACCAGTACTACACGCGGATATAATTAACGCTTGTGTAGCCATCTGACTAGGTCGGATATAACGGAGGCTATTGTGTGGACTTTGACCACCAGACTGATTTACCGTCGCTCGACGATTTCTCTGTATTGCCTTAACAAGATTGTCGCGGTACTTTCTGTGATTGAAAAAATAAATTAAAGGATTGGTAAAGGCGTTGATATTGCCAGAAATAGAAGTAACTATTCGTATTATAACTGTTGGCGTTGAATTCTGTTCACCACCAATGATTCGTATAATTGCTGAAGGAAAATAGCTTATGAAAAACGTTCCTACTACTAGAGTACCAATCTAGAATTAAATGAAATTTAGCATTAAACTTTCAAGCGTGCAATGACCATTCATATATGGGATCACTAATTCAACATTTTACGTTAATCGGCATGAAATATAATTTACCAAAATATTCACCAATATGAAAAAAGGATGATAATTTATTTTTTGTATTACACTATTTTATACCAGATTTACCTTGGTAATATTTCTTTCGAGTACCCGATTATTGCCGTTTACATTCTGTAAATCTGTTTGAATTTTATTTTTAACACGAATAAATGAACCTATTGCCAATAATATAGCTACCGATAGCAAAAGCACATTCCATATAATCATCGGTAAGGATGTATAGGTAATTGCATCGGTAATCTTTGGATTGGCTTCCACTTCTTTTGACTGTAAGCATAAAATATTACAAAGCAATTATGATTGAATATTCTTAATTGAAAGTTTCACAAACTGTGTCTTTTATAAGTTCAAATAATGCATAATTATATAATATTTATATGGAACGATCCCCATCCTAATTTTTTTAACAAAAATTGGCCATTGTAATTATGTATCGAAGAGTAAAGATAATTTGAAACTAAAAATACTAACAATTGTATTTTTAAATATCTCTAACATACTCATTTGCTGCATAAGTCAAGTGAAAATATTGGACTGAATTTACGCCTTTATCATTTATGCCATAGAATGATAATAGACTTATAGTTTCCAAGACTTTACCTTAATATTGAAACAAGAGAAATATCGAACGGAATAGCGAAATTTTGTCAGATTGATTACCGCAGCGATAATGGTAATAGACCATGTTCCGACCAACACCAAATGATAAACGCTTCGTCGTCTAGCAGGAGTTAATCGGCTACTTAATTGTCTTCGAGATATTGCAACCATCCTTTCTATACTCAGCATGCTTAAAATGACACAATTCATCGATGCAGCTGTAATAGAAACTGTTTGAGCAATACTACATGCAATTTGTCGAATGTTACCAGTTGCAACGATAGCTACTGTTAATGACGGAATATTGGTAATACAACTTATTAAATCGATGAACGCCAGCTGATATAGTAGTACATCATAAGCAACTTCATTGCTAGCCCGCCGGCTTGGCTTAAGCAGCATTATAACTGTAATATTGCCAACTACGCCCAAAAACATGAAAACGCTTAAAAACATGGACGAAATTGACACTACAATATTAGATAAAGCAATATTATATAGATCGATAGCTGAATTGTTCATGGTAACTTTTTCAAGTCTATTATTTAATGATAGAGATTAATCAGTGCTGAGAGAATTCAAGATTTAAAAATTCAATTCTTTGTTGATTTTGTCGTCCAGTATATAAATTTTAAATACCAAAACCAACTTGAGTAACTATCTTCTTCGTACTTAAAATCGACGTTTGCGTACATTTACTAGGCCTCTAACTTGATAATATTGAAAAGGTCGATAAAGCTTAAGAATTATGCCCAAAAATATTTTTACCTGCCTTCAAATCACATATATGCCTTTGTTCATAGAAGTAGAGAGATACTCTTTTTATGGAAGCATAAAAAATAGGGAGCTGTAAATTATTGTAAAGTTATATTATGATATAATGGTAACTAAATAATATAATCATTATAAAACGATTTGAATAGGAGTAAGTCACAATATTTCTCTTCTATCAATTATTGTTTATTCTCTATATAATTTACTGCAATCGTACTAAAAATATGTCAAGTATTCCAGCTAAAAGTGTAATATATATCTAGTCCCTAATGATAACTAAGATATTTTAAATCATCGTCTATTATGTAACTTATTAAATTGCGAACAATACCAAAGAGAATAAAAATTATTGTACAATTATTTTGCAGTTAATTTTATCACAATTTTGAGAGAAAAATTAATAATTTAGCAATGGGTACAAGTGCAAACTTATAGTTACGAAGCCCAATGTCTTAGGCTCTTAATAATTAAAAATTTTACAGTATGTTTACGAATTATTAACATTGAAAAATGTATAGCTAAGATACCGAAGTTTTGTTAAAGAAAAGGCTAAATAAGTTCTAAATTCTATTATAAAAGTGATGTACAGCTACATAAGGCAAATAATAAGAGCCATTCGCGATTTCTGCTACAAAAGGAAACAATTATAACAATTAAGGTAGAAAGAAAATTTTTACCCGTTTGACAGTATTTCGTAAGCAAATTTATGCATAGGAATAAAACCTGTACTGTCATAGAAATAATGGAATTTACAAAAATTTAAAGGTAAGTCAGTCAACATATAATGACGAGTGACATATTCTAAATCGCAAAATCAATCTTATTCTATTCAAAAATTCTTCATTCAAATTTATCGTTACTTTAAAAGACAACAAAAACAGAAGGCCAAATAATGTCTCAATTTCTTAAATTCCAGATGATGCCGAAAAGGCTATGACTATGATACGATTAACGAAATTCTCAAATCAACGGTTACAATGTCATTGCAACAGATTAAATTAAAAGAGTGGTTTTCAATAGATAATAAAATCTTATTAACATTTAAGAATGAAGGAAAAATCGATGTAAATAATTATTATGGGTCGATCATAATGTGCATTTCAAATTGAGATTATGTCCTTAATGGCCATCATTACATTGTGTTGTAGCAGATCATAATTTTAGAGCTGCTTTTTGTATTATGTATATTACTTTAGGTGGCATTAAGATCAATCTCATCATTCCATTCTAGTTCTCTCTTTAAAGCACCTGACAAAATCGCTGTAGCGATTTCAAAGCTATAAGTCAGAAAGACTTCACTAACAAAGTCTGCATTTTATTGCAGGCTCCCGCAACCGAAATACTTGTTCACATACCGCCATCAATTGTATTTATGATAAAAAATCATCTCCTAATTATTTTCACCATTATTATGAAATTAGGCAACTCGAAAAAACGTATAAACAAATTCTTAGGCCATATTTTGGATTTAACATTGCAGCTATCTAAAACTATAACCGACATTAAGTATCAATTATATTACTGAAAAAATGTTGAACAAAAAATACAGAATAAAATTCTGCTGTTATGAGAGTTACATCATTTCTAGAAAATGATTCAAGATCTCTAAATGTAGTGGTAATAGAGTAAGGTATATAACAGAGCTTATTGCTAAGTTTCGAATGATCTTCATTGAAGTGAATAAAAATCTATATATTAATTTTTCTAAATTTCTATTCCTTTGAAAGTAACCTCAAATATTGTATTTCTACTATATCGTTAGATTATTATTAATAAGGTTTGAAAAAATTTCTTATCAAGAGCTTCCTACTTAATTTCATGGTTCTAGAGACCAATTTGTATAAGACATAAAACATTTTGAATTTTTCCTAATTCTTTTGCAACACAAATATTCAGACTTTGCATAATCAACGTTTCTATAGTTAATAATAATAAACCGTTTATTTAATAGTGGCAGTAATTTAATTTATCAATTTAAACAACAATGTAAAGTAACAAATCTGAATGGCAAAAAATGCACTTGGAAGCTAATGCCTGGTACTGGCTAATACATATTTATCATAGCAAAAAAGTAAACATTACAATCAGCTACATCAAGCTCTAAAAGAATGGTTCCACAGAAGTTTAAGTAAATATTATCAGTAATTACATTTTGCTTTCAGGTATCGCGAAAGTATTCTAATAGTCAAGAAATCCGGATATTCAGCTATAAAATTTACGGTAGGTTGCTGTAACATATCATTTTTCACAGAATGTTATGATTATTACAGGATATCAGTTAATATTCTCTGTTGATCTTTCAAGTAATAAATAGATAGTTTAAGATTAAATATTGCCGTTACTTGGTAAAAAATTATGTCGATTTATTTTAGTTATAATTATTTCAATTCTTTATATTTCAAAATAGCAAAGCATAGCGTGAAGTAGAATATTGGTTTAAGTTAAAATCATACATATATAGATGGATCTGGAACAGCCTCAGCACGTCTAGCGCCTAGTGATTTATTGTCATAATGTCAACTCTGCCACAAGGTAAGGTACAATAAAAATCTAACAGTAGCGACTGAGTTAAACGCCCTTTTACTTAACGTTAAACACGCACAGCAAATTACGGTAAAGATAAAACTTTTATTAGCAAAGATACATCCACAACTTTCATCACACACTACTCAACCCAAATATTCCCGTTTATATTGGAACCGCCTAATTTGTAAACAAGAACAGTATTATTATGCTTTATTAGGAGAAACAACTCGAACTGAGATGTCCTTTACATTGCCTTTCTATCAGTTAATATTTTGAATCTTTTACTAATAATTAATCTTAATCTAAGCACGTAGGTTGTCTAAATCAACTATCATCAACTAGAACTTGAATCATCTTACTAGCATCTATCACACAATAACAATCAATATCAAATATGTAATAAACTATCACAAACAATATCCACGGTAAGGCATTACTTATCTTACCTAGCACTGCAAATATGGATATTTCCCATATTAGCTACTACTGTACTTACTAAACTATCCTAACAGCAAGGCAATATCGTATCACTTATGCAAATGTCATTACTGTTAGGATCCATTCTGCATACTTTTACTTTGACATAAGGAGCAAATTTGCCGTTAAATCATCACTCAACTCTATTATCCTTATTATTTACATTGATAGCAATTATAGAAACTATTGAATACAGTTATGTATATGCTCAATAATATTATCAGCATATCGAGCTTAAGCAAACTGACAAAGATTTCTAGATCATTCTACTGGGAAGAGTTGAGTGATAGTTGTCAAGTCAATTTCTGCATGATAATAGCTACCATATAGTTAGATATGACAGCATTTTTTAAAGATATTTCCAAGATCGTCAATAATAATGAAATTAAATCTTTAAGATATCATACTTTATGTCGATATTACGACAATATAATAATCATCATAAATTTTAAATGTAATCCAATAGGTCAAAACTAATTAATGATTCCTATAAATTTAATACAATAAAGGCATCATTTACCGTAATTAAACCAAAATTGAAAATTATCGTAATAACTTTATTTTGCGTAAGCATAAATTTAACAAAGATATATCACGCATACGAGTGCGAATAAGTAACAGCAATTTGCAGAAGTCGAGTCTTTGTATCAAAAATATTTTATATATAATAGTGTTCATTTATATCTGGATGAAGTAGAATAGTTTAATAATAAATACTCCTTTCACCTCAATAAATAATATCGCTTGCAACAATAATTGTTAACGACGTAAATTAAGCTGAAACCCAATAACCGGGTGTAATGTAACTAGTATTGTGATTGTAGACTGTTAGCCATCTTTAGTATAATGTACGGTAGATATTTATCCTAAGAGATATTTGGTAGCTATAACTATAGACTGTAGTGGTAGAGACTCTATGCTAGAGTATAGATGACTATATACAGTAAGGTGGTGAGTTACTAATAAGGCTATAGGTAAAAATAGAACTGTAAATCATATATTAGGATATGGTTAATTCATTGTACTTTGGCTGGTGTGAATAATGTCTACGTAAGTACTGTAGCCGTATCCATATTGGATTAATGATGGTCCGCAGCAGAATAGTGTTACTAAGAATAATTTTACTATGTGTAATATAAGGTAAAAGGTTGCCATGCGGATTGTAGCTGCGAATACTACGGAAAGTATAAAAGCATGCAACTTTAGATTATTCAGTTAGTTCGTTGTAGAAGTCTTTAGTAGTAGTGTTCGGCTAGAGTAGAGCTGTGTAGTTAATCTTTGTATAAGATTCAATAAAGCCCTTATTTTTCTAAAATTTGGAATCTCGTGATTGGTATATATCACACCGGGACAGGATGGTACCAAAATGAATAACGGGCGTTATTTAATTAATATGACCTAGTATCCCAGTTTAGCTAATTAAATAAAATCTATATTAGTATACACTATACTCAAAAAAATAGCAAAATTGAAATGATAGTAAAACCAAGCACGAAAGGCGTATCCATTTGAAACGCAATCAGGTTTACAGTAATCAGATCAAGTAGATATTTATTTATCTCATTAAGACATTTTCTATAATCTTTACAAATCAATTCTCTTTCGGATAAATTATACTGTTATAGACAAATCTATTCAAATCGGAACTACATTAGACTATTTCTAGAGTATTTTGTAGCGTATTTTCTATACAGTAATTGCTGGACACTCACTTTGTTTCACACGCACTGAAATTATCTTAATTT